AAGACTTGAAACGCTGCCCACAAAGGACTGCCTCAGCCTGCAAAAGGCCAAAACAGGGGCTGTCTGTCATACATCCCACAAGTCTCCTGAGGCTTAAAGGCCACATTTATCTTTAAATAGAAAAGTTTCTATTAAATGGGGAAATGGAAAGAAGAATGGTTTGCCAAGTCCATAGGTTCCTTTAAGGAACCCACTGCTTCCCCCTTTTTGGATCATATGGAACACTCCTAACCCTTGGGTAAGCTAAGTGTTTGTCCAAAATGTGTAAGGCCTACATTTTGATGAAGCATTATCCAATGGGAAGCCAGCTTTTAACATTAGAGAAAAATTCTCTTCCTCTGAGACTGAAATTCCAGGAACAACATGTCCACTCAAAACCTTCCCAAAAGTCTAAACCTTTTTTTTTGTCCATGGACCCACAAGAGTCCACTTAAACTCCCTAAATCTGGTGGCCTGCCTGTCTTCCATTGTGCCTCTACTCACAGTTGGGAGTTACCCTTTTTGTTATTCTTCACCATGTGTCACTCGAACTGCTAGATTGGAATCACCCTCAAAAACCTATATCTTCGATCACCTTTTCCTCTTGTGTTCTCTGGTGCAGCCAGAGTAGTCTTAAGGAGTTTGTCTCTTACCTACAGGCACTTAATATTTTGCTCTGTCAGACAGGATTTCCAAAGTTTCCTACCACTGCTGTCACTGACTCAGTTGTGCTGCTGTTTCTAGTGCTGGGAGTGGAGCACTCTGGGCTTTCCTAGTGTTTTATATTCCAATCCTTCCCAAAGCAGTCTTAGCAAATACGTCTTCTACGCTGGGCATCCTCACTCATGGCAGAACTGAACCAGAAGTAGCAGTAGGATGAAATTTTAGTGGGGAAAATGTTGGTACAGTCACAGGCTGCATTGGGGATAGCCTCAAATGAATGGTGCTGTACAAAAATATATGTAGTGTGGGGTTGTAAGTATCCCACCCTCTTTGTTTCTCTCTAAAGAGAGAACAGCTATGTCCCCACATGGAGAAGGTAAGTACTGCATCTTTAAGGTCTCAGCAGTGAGGTAGAGGAGGGGAACATATTGTCAGTGTTTATACCTTTCTTCTTTGTTGAATTTGGGATTGGCTTCAGAGATATCCAGGCTTTTACTGAACATTGTTTTACTATGGCAGGAACAAAGCGAGAAAACAGAGTTACTAGTGTGGACATTTATAAAAGAGAGTCACCTGAAGCAATGCTGGACACCCAGCCCCCCAACCCATCCTCCCCTTTTTAAGCAATGCTCTGAAAAACCTTTCTTTTACTTTCCAACTATGGCTCAAGCCTACACAGTGCTGAAGTTCATTATCTCCCTCTGACTTCTGAGGTCTAAGATGACTTCCCCCATACATACTTGTAAACCCTGATCTCCTTTATCCAATTGAAAACCCAGGTACCATCTACTTTGTCACATTGTCTAAGGAAAACAGAACATGCCTGAAGGCACAAACTGCAAAGCACTCATTACTTAGACTTTTCTAGAAGACCTCAACATGAAGCACAATCTGGGAAAAGGTTAAAATCAGACCATAGAGCCTCTTAAGAGGAACAGTAATCCATTTTGTATTCTAATTTGTAGGGTCCATTACCACTTACTCCCAACTCTCTTCCCTATACTCAGTGTATAGAGAAATGCCCTTCTTTATCATCTTGGGTCTGAATCCCTGAAGCTTAGAAGCAAAATTCCCTATGCTTTGCTAAAGGGACAGCTCTCTCTAATATATTTCACTGGTAATATGCTTCACTGTTTCACAGAACACTGTTCCCTAATGTTAGCTGATCTTTCATGCAAGCTATCCACTTCAATAACCAGGAGAAAATGAATAGTTAATGAAGCCCATTTTAGAACAGTTTTTGGACTCTTAACAGCAGAGCTGCTGAAAATTTCTGGCATATCCCTGAGACATTCTAGCTCCTATGGAATTCTTCCTAGTCTGTGTGATTTTGGCACATGGGACAAATTAGCTGGTGTTAAACTAAGCTCAGAACCTACCTCTTTTCTTTTGACATTTCAATGAAATACCAGATAGTCTGAGAGGTGTGGATACCACAACAGCAGAAGCAATTAAGATATAATTATGAACCCGTTCAGTTGACAGCTAGCAGGGAAAACCAAGAATTGACAAAACTTAGTCACCAGTTTTAGTGTGGCTGATGTTTGTGCGTAACAAGTTTGCCGTATAGGAAGACCCAATGGAGAACACTTGGAGAGGTCAGTACAAGCATTTCAAGGAGTCTTTAAGCTCAACAAGCAGCCTTTGTGCTGAGTTCCCCTCCTCCATTATCCAAAACTAAGTCACTGAAGGACTATGTTTTTCACTTAATACTTTCTCAGCCTGTAGGGTTGAAGGCTGTCAAGTTTCAAATCTCGGTGGAAAGATATGCCCTTAAACAAGCCAAGACCAGACACTTGTAGGGTCCCCACATGGTTACCAAAAGCACAGTTCATCACACAGACACATAAACCAGAGGTTATAACATAAATCCCCTTTATGCAAGCAAATACCTGTTTACTACTGGGAAAGAGGACAATAGGACTAAATCACAAGACACATGGGTGTGTTCTGCCCACTGGCTTAGAAGATTATCTCTGCCAGCTCAAGAAAGAAGCAATGGCTCTGTGTCTCTGGATGTTTACACAAGTCATCTGTGTCTAAACAGGAGACCTGTTTCCATGGTGTCCCCCCTCCCCCATCTTCCTAGTATTGTAGGATAAAAGCACTGAATAGTCATCTGCTGAGACCAAAAAATATCATTCTTAAAAAAGCATCCACCTCTGGAATCTAAGCCCTACTGCTGTAAAATCCATTGTCAGTGGGTCATTTCATGGAATATAATATGTGACTAACCATTAAAAATCCCCCACTCTTGGTGGAAGGCACTTGTCATTTTGTTACTGACTGTTCTGACAGATGGTGCCCCATCAGCAATGCATCGTCCCCAGACAATCCCCATGCAGTGGTGTTCGTTAATGAAGCCAGTTCACGTTATAAACGACTGTGCTGCCAGCAACACAAAATGTGCCGTTGTCATCTGTGGATGTGGATGGTATGAATTATGGAAGCTCACACATGGAATAAAATAACATCTTCCCTTCAACCCCTTCCAAAACAAGCACTACCAAGCCCATCATCATCAGTCATGGTGTTATTGCATCCCTTTCTCCACCCTTAATCACACCTTTATGTCCAGCCCTGCGTTGTGGTATGCATTGCCCTGTATCTCTTTCGTGCCTGGCAGGTTTCGCTTCCTCCATAAGCCAAAGCCCTTCTTTACTGATAAGTAGCCTGGATATGTCTCTGCTCTGAACTCATCTCAGACCTTTTGACTTCAATTGTTTCCTCATGTGCAGAATTGAGTGAGACATTTAAAAGCAGAATAAGTACTTTGGATAGCAAGACACAGCTTTGCCTCTTCAGACTTTTGAATCCAAAGTCCAAGCTGAGAGCTGGAAGAAAAGGTTTCAGCCCTCAGAAAACTTCGGGATCAATCTAACACCTCCTGTTTGTTCCACCCAGTTGGACACTTACTGTAAATAGCTGCAGAGTACTGCGACTCACAGGCAGCCTTGGGGTGGGGGAAAGTGATTCACCTCTGGCTCTGGGAGCTTCATGGCCCATGCATCTACCAGTTACCAGATTAAACACTGCAAGCTGAATAAGGAGTGTGCAGCTGTTTGTCAGTGTTGTGTTCATCCTTAGTACATCCTGTCCTGAACGCTTCCTTTGCCCAGACCTCACATCAAAGCAAACCACATTCAAGACAGGTTTCCAACCTACACTGCAATGAAAAACCTTTATGGCAGTGTATCTCAAGGCCACATATCCAGTCTGAAATAAGTCCTAGCAGATTCTGGAAATAACCGCCTTTTCCTCACTGTAGAAAGAACTGTAACAGTTGCCAGCAAAACTTTCCAGCAATTATAGGAGCCTCTGGACATGAAATTATTTCATTCACATTCTTCACCCAGTTCTTAGTCAGCAAAGGGAGTTTCTGGCCACAACAGGCTCATTTTGAGCAGATCTTAACAGCTGAACAAAAAAATCATGTCATAAAGCTGAAACAGAGGTTACAGCATCATCATCATACATATATGTGAAGTGTTCTTTTATATTGATTGATTTATGCAAGTGTGAATCCAAATGCATGTGCTTCCTTTAGGCTAGTCATAAGGACTAAGGAAGCAACTTCCATGGTTCACTTTAGTGAACTTGCACAGTTCACTTACTCTCCCAGAACCTGCCTTGAGGAGACATCATTTTCCTCTGCTGTTTCTCCACAAGACTGACACTTTCTTTGATAGAAGAGAGGCAAAATTATACATATTCCATCACTTCACAGGCTTGTGGTAATTTATGTGGGTCAGATGCATGCTGGCTCTGACAGCACATTTTAAAGGCATCTACAGGTGCCTGGGCAGGGCTTTCCAGATTTGAGCTGCTCTGATGACATGGAGGGTGGGGTTCATCTCATTTAACTTCAGGTGCCCAAAAGCTAGGCATCTAATCCAAGATAAGTCATCTAGATTCCTGTTGTAGGCTATGGAGACAGAGAGAAACAACCAGAGGGTAACTTATCCCATCTAAGATTGTTGGAACAGAGGACATATGTATCTGAGACCTTCCAAAGCCCTCATCTGTCCCCACTGCCTAGAGTGACAGCCTGTATCACAAGCTTAGACTGAATGCCTATGTTCTCGACAATTAAAAAGAGGTGAGATGAGTCTTGTCCAGAGGATGTGGTGGTTTCCTGAGCAATAGCTGCAAGCGAACAGAACCCTTAAGCCCCTGGCAGGACTTCTGGTCCAGCGCGCACAAGCGCTGCTGGCTGCCAGATCATGTTGCAAATATGCTTGGAAGTTGTAATGAGTGCTGGTGCGAATAGAAAAGCTCCACAGTTCCTTTGTATGTATAACATAAAAGAGGGTAGCAAACCCAGACAGACAAGACTCCTGGGTAAAGAAGAGACCCACCTCTGTCCATGTTGTGCCATTTCAATAGCTCTGCGAGCAGGGACTGGGGAGCCGCCATCTGTCACACTGAGAACCTCCATCGACTTCCTTTCTGGCCTCCGCTTCCCATGCCTGTTCAGCATTGGGGAGTCCACACGCTTCCTGGGGGGATCTTTATGAAAAGAAAATGCTGTCAGCTGAATTCGGCTGTGACTTACCTCACACAGGTTGGTTAAATCCTCTCTCAACAATCCCACTCTCACACCTCCCCTACAGTGACAGTATCTTTATGATGGAGCTGAACATTTGCAGTCTCTCCCTTCTTCCAAATTTGCAAACATTAAGACATAAGTTGCAATCCATTTACAGAGAGAAGGAGCACTGCCACTGCCCTGAATGTAGCAGCACTGTAAAATAAAGGTACAACTATAGCATAGCTTGCAGAAATTACCTTACAAAGCTGATAACAGTAATAACAAGGTGACAGCATGGGCTATAACACAAGCTGTTAGCCAGAATATAAGCCATCTAGGGATTCTGTATAGGTACACAGGTTGCTAGAGCTTGCCTTCGATGTCCCTGCTAGCTAGATTAAATGTGACACAGGGACATGAGTACACTCTGAACTCAGAATTGCATTCTCCTCTGAAAACATATCCTTTTTTTGCATCTTTAAGATTACATTTCAGGTTTTCCTTGCTGCTTTATATTCTTCCTCCTTCAGCATTACAAATTAAACATACTAGTCTACCCGAGATGAATCTCCAATGAGAGCTAATAAAATTTATCTCAGAGGTCATCATACAGTTTTTATTGCTATAGTAACTGAAGTGCTTTACACTTTTTATTGTGTAACATTTCTATGAGGTATTGAAGTGCTACTTTCACTTTGCAGAGTGAAAACTGAGGTATAAGAATGAGATATTTAAATGCAATTCATTCCTAAAGGTGCCGACAAACATTTACTGAGGTTCTGAGGAGCACCTAAATTGCTCTGAAAAGAGTCTTTAGATACCAAACTGCACTGCAGAAGGTGACTTGCCAAACCACACACACCTCCATGGTGAAGCAGGGAGCCAAATGCAGACCTGCTGAGATGTTTTATTACTAACATCTCTCATGGCATCAAAACACTAAAAAGGAGGAAGGCAGAAAAAAAATACAGAAAGATTTTCTTTTCTGTGGTTGGGCTATTTCAGTTCCCTGCCTCTATGCATAGACAAATTTTTAATTTTAGTGGAGAGTGACCACCTGTAAAAAAAGGCGTCCTTCACCACTGCAGTTAGAAAGAAGCTCACAGTGCCCAGGCCCCTTATAAGGCTTCTTCCTCTGCCAGGATTCCTTTGTAAAACCAGAAATACTGCATTTGACGAGTCTACTTCTACTGCCTAGTCTGATGGTATTATTTTTATTATCCTGCCCTCCTCACACCCCCCATCTACTTGCTTTTTTCTTCTCTCTCTCACGTCATGTTTTTTAGAACAAGATCTCTTTAAGGCAGGGCTTATTCTTGAAACAATGAGCATGAGCAAAGATGGCTCAAATGCAAATGGGCGAGTGATAACAACTGACCCCATTACTGTATAACCCAAGTATTCTTTGTATTAACAGTAATAACATTCCTATTAAAAATTAATCAGAAAAGAAGCAGTTCTATCTCACTCCATTTCAAACTATGTCCAGTAATAAAAAGGTAATAGAAAATCCTAGCTGGGGAAATGACCTCCTGATTAGGAAAAATATATAGTGCATAAAGCTGAGGGAAAAACAAAGGGAGATAAACCTAAAAAAGCAGTTATACTGGGTGACTTCAGCTGCACACGTCTAAGTGGTCAAAAGTAAGCTGGGACAAGTTTTAGACATTTCAAACTCCTGCTTCTTCAAACAAGTTCAAAGAATGAGAACCGATTCATCCCACAGGACAACTGTTGGTATCAGAAGTGTGACTAGAGCCAAGTAACACACATAACGACAATGTAATTATGTTTGGTATCAACAACAGAGAGTTGATACAAGTTTTGCAGAGGGATATCAGACGCTAGAAAGGAAGGTGGAAGAGTACAGTTTAAAAGAAAAGAAAAAGAAGGAGGAAGGAAGATGAAGAAAGCAGCTAATGTCAAAAGAATGGACATGAGTAAGCTCAGGCTGCATCAATGTTAGCTAATAACAGAGTATAAACAAGAAAGATGGAAAAAGGCAAGAAAAACATTTTATAAACAGATATTTTAAAAGGCATTTTGATCCAAGCATGTTCAAAACAGAAGACTTTAGCAAATGGAAATTCAGCTGAGTAACACAAAAGTGACAGGCCAAATATAAGGTGGACATTAAAAGACAGTGAAGAATAAATTTGAAGAGGAATTAGCTAAGGACTTGAATAAGTGTTTTGTACATCCATCAGAAAGAGAAAGCTTGAGAGAAGGACAGTAGCCAGAGGGACCATGAGGGAACCAACAGAAAAATTAACAAGAAGGATATCACTAACAAGCTAAATGGTTCTTTTGTATCAGTCCTTGCTAATCAAGATGCTGGAAGATACTGATTTCCAATTTCTATTTTAAACTATCAAAGAGAAAGACTAAGCAAAAAGAGCAGGTTGTGAAACACACCTGTAAATTCAACAACAGCAATTCACAAAAGTTTGATGGAAGATACATCCAGAAGCTTGTATGAATGTGGTTGAGCTTCTGATAAAGGTATTTGATTCCTCTTTAAAATTGGCTACAATCCTACACTATACATGGCTGAGGGTAGAAAGTATTGTACATATTTTTTAAAAGGGTCTGAGTAAGAAATGACAGGGCACCGAGTCTGTCATCACTGTCAAGTCTAAAGATACTAAAGAAATAGTTAAACACCTGCTATAAAGACTGAAGTGGTGTCATATAAAAGCAGTAGAAGATTCTGCAGAAGCACAGGAATTAAAAATAGGAAAACCTCCAGTGTTTGCCCTTCTCTTCTTGACTCTCTGGAAATATTTCACATGGAGAAAAAAAATCAAATCTTAGTCTGGATCTGTGATAGTTTTGAGGGTTCATTTTCCTTTTATTTCACATCAGAAAAGTGAAGCCATTCCTAAGGATTTTTACAGCGGAAGAGAGAATTGTATAGGTAATGATCCAATTATAAAGGCATTCATCTGGAAGGTGGGAAGTAAAGGTTCACCTTCTGAGTTTGGATGAGGCACCTATATCCTATATGGCTATTCTGGCCCAATCTCTTGTTCCCTGGTTTATTAAGAAACTCCACCCCACAAAAGCCTTTTTCTCAAGGAGACATTAGTTGACATTCATTCATTTTACTGAGAAGTTTCTCATTTCTCTGCTTTCAGGTAAAGAAAATGGAGCTGGACTTGAAAGATGGTTGTCGTGGTTTAACCCCAGCCAGCAACTAAGCACCACGCAGCCGCTCACTCACTCCCCCCCATCCAGTGGGATGGGGGAGAAAATCAGGAAAAGAAGTAAAACTCCTGGGTTGAGATAAGAACGATTTAATAGAACAGAAAAGAAGAGACTAATAATGATAATGATAACACTAATAAAATGACAACAGTAGTAATAAAAGGATTGAAATGTGCAAATGATGCGCAGGGCAATTGCTCACCACCCGCCGACCGACACCCAGCCAGTCCCCAAGCGGCGAAATCCCTGCCCCCCCCACTTCCCAGTTCCTAAACTAGATGGGACGTCACATCGTATGGAATACACTGTTGGCCAGTTTGGGTCAGGTGCCCTGGCTGGGCATGAGAAGCTGAAAAATCCTTGACTGTAGTCTAAACACTACTGAGCAACAACTGAAAACATCAGTGTTATCAACATTCTTCACATACTGAACTCAAAACATAGTACTGTACCAGCTACTAGGAAGACAGTTAACTACATCCCAGCTGAAACCAGGACAATGGTGAAGGTGACCCTTCCCTGGCCCTTTGAGAAAGTTTCATATAGCTGAAACAGACAAAAGGGACACCAGAAGACAGTGCTAGTCTGAGCTGGCCATACTTTTATCTGCATCCATACTTTCTGAGACCTAAGATGCAAAGAAAAAGGAAAAAGCAAAATACTCCGAGATGCACTTTTGTTTTTTTTGGCAAGAGCTCAGGCAATGCACAACTCTCATGAATGTGGTTTCTTCAAGCTGCTATTATTAAATCTGTTACTTTTTCTCTGCTCTTCTTTGTGCAAGGCCATTGCTAATGGCTAATGATGAGATATTCATCAGAAGCATGACTGCTCTTAATTAAACCTTGCCCCATGTTCTCAGAGATACTGCTGGGAACAGAGGAGGTGGAACCCCCTGTGGAAGAGGAAATACAACCTACAAACACTCAAAGAATAATGCTCAAAGAGTCTAAAACATGCTGATGAGGCACAATGATACATTCAGAGTAGTGTTTCCCTGTTGGGGAACATTTTGACTCCTTGTACAGAAAAATACAAGTGGAGCATAATATTTCAGTTCAAACCACAAAAATACTTTGGCATATGGAAGAGAGATATATGATGTATTTAGGGCATAGCTACCTATTCACTTACATGCTGGATATGAAGATTCTAGAGTCACCTTGCTTCTTTTCTTATGACAAAAGCCATTCTAAAACAAGATGATGGTGTCCTTACATGGCAGAATAATCTCTTTGAGTCAAAAGCTGATTAGTAAAGTGCTATAGATGACAAACTGCACTGAGCAAGGGGCTTTTGACCACAGGACCTGCAGTTGGCACATCTACCCATCTTCATCAGGATCCCTGCTAACATGCTCTCTGTAGCTCCATCTAGGTAAGAGCTTAAAAATCACTGTGTTGACTAAGAATTTCCATCTCTTCTCCCATAGAAGAGATTTCACCGCAAAATTATAGAGCCTGGAGCCTGGAACTTGGATAAGGTAATAATTCAACAAAGTACTAACAAACTTAAGAGTTCAATATTCCACTGCCCTGTAGGCTTGGGAGATTCCAGGCTTTTCAGTGAAAGCACTTTGTTTCTAGCCTTCAAAGTGCTGAAATACAATCCCTGAAAATCACAACACTACTATGTAAAAACGCTATTTCAGGTCACTGACAGAAGTGACTAATCCTTTATTAGTTAAACTTTTGTCACTCTGCACAGCAGGAGTCACTTATATAGTTAGCTCCTTAGGCAAGCATTTTTCCTGTTATCTAGATTAGTGAATTCCTTGGTGATCAGCAGTACCCTAAAATACTAAAGAACAATTCTTCAGGAATAAAGTGGTATCACAAGAGCTTTATAAGCTATATAATCTTACTGCATATTGTGCTTTTAAAACCTTTCTAAGATAGTCTAATAACATGGGAGTTCAATGTATGTACTATAAACAGCTAAGTGATATTATTCATACTTTCAACAGTATGTATATATTTACCTACAGAAAAGAGAATGTGTACATATAGAACTTCATAGGGATGCAATGCTACACAGCCTTAGTAGCACAAGTCCAGAAGCAGCACTTCTGCAATACTGCGTGTAGATCAGCAATTAGAAAATTCTGCCACTAGACTATACTGCTTCTAAACCTCATCTCCTTGCATAGAGCCAGCTTGTAGGTCCACATGGTATTTTTTAAGATCTGGTTCAAGACCAGCTTGGATGTTTCTGCACTGTGAGACAGACATGTCCTGAAAAATGAAGCCTTTGAGTTTAACCACAGAACAGACCTGCCTGCCTCAGGCTGAGGATTCTCACAAATGCTGTGCACCATTTCAGTGGGAAGGGTTTGGGTGGTGGGGAAGTGATGTTAGGGTATACATTTAAAAAAAAAAAAAAAAAGGCGAAGAGGAACTAGGTGAGATGGGTTCATGGTGACAGAGGTCATATCTGTAGTACCTATTTCATTTCTAGGGGGAAGATCCTCATCTTCATGACTAGGATACCTCTCCTTCCGATCAAGCAGAAGAAAATAAATCATTTTCTCTTGGTTTTCTCTGAAAAAAAAAAAAGAAAAAAAACCTTTAAATTTGAAGAGAAAAAACCATCAACATGTAGATAAACCCTTCTCATCAAATGAACAGCTACAGTTATTCTAAGTAAGCTGGAAATGGTCATGTATCTGCCAGCTAGATACACAACCCACAAAGCTTTTGAGAACCTTGCTGTCTCCAACAAGCAGCTAGTGAGAACAGGAAATACGATTCCCATGTTACACACACAGAACAGAGGCACGGGACAGACAAGGTAATGTGTCCACAGGAAGTTCAAATCAAGAGTGGCAGCAAGACAGGTCCCCTGAGCCTCTAAGTGCTCTTTCCGCTACGTGTCCCTCTTAACACCTCAGGAAATACATCAGCTTTCAGGCATAAGCTTGAAATAAACAAAAAATTGCCAACAAAGACATATCCAACACAAATAACAGCAATGATATGATCCCCATCCAGACTGCACGGCCCATCTTTTCATGAAGTGACCTTGCCTGGCAGCAAGGGAAGAGAGAGCACCATGCCTCCGTTGCTTGTCAGGCTGTGAGCTTCTGACACATGGTGCAAGAAAGGCTCAGTGCTTGCTCCCAACACTTCACAAGCGAATGAGCAGCCAGAGGGTGAGAAGTTGCTACTGGTCCCTCACAGTGAGAGACATTAGTTAAAGCACTCTCTACCTCTCCCCAGGTTTATAAGCATCCCAGCCCATGGACACCCAACTCATATGAAGACTGAGCAAGTGCTTACTCTTCCGACAACAAGTCCTGTAAGAGTTTATTTCGGTCACGGAAGCAGCCTAACGAGTGCATGCTATCTAACACGTCTGGATCAATATCCTCCAAGGAAGGGAGAGAACGAATCTGCACCTTTCGAGGGATTGGTTGCTCTGGTTCTGGCTCGTTCTTACCCCCTCTGCAGAGGAAAGAAGATGAGAGAGAGAAAGGGGGCAGAGAAAGAAGGAGAGAAAAGAAACATGAGTCACAAATGAACCCATACTCTGAAACACAGCCTGCGGCAACAGATGGAAATAGCTTGTTAAATTCCCACTGAGAGACCAGAGCTCCCAACCAGACAGATATTCTTTTCAGAGGAAACCACTGTGAAGGCTAAGAGTGACCAGAACCTTGTGGATTTGGGTCTTTAATGAGAAATGTCTGTGTTCAGTCAGAAAGGCAGTAGGAACTTCACTTACCAGCACCCTCATAATTTAAGCAGCTGTTCAGCATCCTCATGCCAAACATTTATAAAACACTACATGGTTTTAGAGATGCTGTCTCATCAGCAGGCCAGACCTCAGGCTATCAGGCTGAAAAGTGCAAGCTGAGTGATTCTCATTCAAAGAAGGAGCTGCAAACAAACCGTCACTGTTTTTCACCAATTCTGATTACAGCCAGCATTGCAGCAGCTTCTTTCTTTGAAGCTTCCCATGTGATTAAGAGATCTCAGCGTTCAGGCCCCCACTTGACACACTTTAAAAGGTTTTTGGGGAAAGCAGGGTGTTTATTTACATGCCCAAATGAGACAATTTCTGCTTCTCTTCAGACTTGCAAATTTGAAAATTGTGGCTCAAGCATGATGCCAGAGGTCCGTGGCAGACCTCAGAATACACTGTTAGCGGTAGAGCATATTACTCTTTTAAAAGTAATTAACACAGGCTTCCTGCATAATTATCTCATCCTATTCACTAGGCTCAAGAAATATTGATTATTCGTTGCAGTTAAAGGCCCTTACTGTAAGAAACAGGTCAAGGTGTCAGGGTATCTATAACCGACTGAATGATATATATTGCAGGCACCCTGAAAATCCTTTGATTTTGTTTAGGTAAGTAGTGAACAATTTATGTGAACTCTATCCATCCAAAGAGGTAGGTTTGGCAATGGTGGTATTTTGGTTGGTGAAACTGTCTACCCTGAATCTTCGCTACTTCTCAACGGATGCTTTGTGCGATGTCGAGGTTTTCATACTCTTTGGGTGAGGTCCTCCCTTCCGATGTTGAGGTTCTCCTACTCTGCGGGTGAGGTCCTCCCTTTCCATTACGTGATGTAAATGTGTGACTGTTGAGTCCAAGCTCCCAGGGTGGGCAACAGGAATCGATAATATTTAAATTGCATAAGATGTCAGTGTTAGCTGTTTATGGGGCTGTGTTTGGGCAAGAGATTCTTCCTTTTGATGCTGGCAGAAGTAAGCTGAACACAACTTGTGAACTTACTTGCACAGCTTAAAATGCTCTGGGCTCAGATGTGAGCTATCCAAGTATCTACACAGAAAAAGGAGCTCCAACTCAAATGTCCCTAATTTTTCTTGGGTAGGTTAGAAAGCAACTCTGGTAGGATCATACACATGAGCTCAAGGTCTCAGCCAGTGCACCAAAAAGAGAGCCAATAGAGATTATCTCCTCCAAGGTAAGAAGGCAATACTAAGTCATTGCAGCCAGGGGTCTGATGCTAGGACAGGACAATTACATGCTACACCTTAATCATGGGAGATTGCTGGGTGTTACTTGCAATTTATTTTTAAGCAAGTTGAAATGCAGTTGGGAGGCATCTGCTCTGTTAACCATGTTTGTGGGACATCACTTGCAGAAAGACTCCTTGGAAATTTTCATTTTATCTTCTCTTGAAGCAGTGAAAATGTGCTCAGCCCTTTCTGGACACACGTCATGGAGTCAGACTCTAGTGTGCATCACATGGGTCATGACAACATGGGTCAGATCCCAATTCTTTTATACTGAGCACTCACACACACCCTGCTCAGTTTTATTCAGTTTAGGGGGCTGGAAGCAGAATATACAGGATAGAGAAAGAATCTGCTCCTTGGGATTCGTTCTTGTGTGTCAAACCACTAAAACACAGCTTCTGATGCCCCCTTGGAGTCTCGCAGAAGCGTCTATGTCTTCTGCAATGACACCATGGTCCTGAATCTAAGGGTTAGATTCAAAAATCCTTGTTCAACTAAAGAAACATCTTATTCCTTGAGTGCCCTGTCTTTAAGAGGTAGCTACTCCTACCTCTTATGATCAGGATGTAGCTCTCAGCAGGTAATAAGCAATGATTAGATCATAACCTTGTGCTATTAAAGCCAGTGATGACCTTGTCATTAAGATAAATTCTTGAAGGATGCACCTTTGAAGAGCAGCTGAGTGTTTTGGGTTTTTTAATGATCTGCAGTTCACTTTTAAAAAATATTGAATTAATTAATCATTCATTATGTTATAAGCAGATGTCCTTAAAGTAATTTAAAGAGATTAAAAAGAATTATTGTTTTGGAAAATTTCCAGAAAATCTGGGTTTCCTACTAGTTGCCCTAGTCTATAGCAGAATATCACCTGCAAGCTTCTTTTGTATCAATCAGCATGGGAGCCATTTCTAGAGAGCACAGCTTGCCATCGTCTGTGCATGAAAAGTGGCTTTTCCTTATGCCCTGCCCTGGTCAGCCTCAGACATAGTCAGGAATTTTCACACCTCCTCGTCAGGTACAAGCGAAGTCTGCAAAGAGGCATGTCGTCATTTGGCAACACAATTCAATGCTTCAGGAAATGAAAATCACCGGGTCTGGGCTGTGATTGGCATGACTGTATTGCCTGTTCCATTCTCAGTCTAGCAGAGAGTGACAAATTTGTTGCATTTCAGCCCACATTGACATCAAACAATGTCACACGATGAATACTGCAAATCACGTATGTTTTTTAAAGGCCCACATGAATGTAATTGCTGCTTTAAAACCCATCTCTTTTGTGAGAATCAGTGCATACAATGGCTGTGATTCCAGACCAGGGCAGACTTCTTCAGCCTCTCCATGAAACTCCCTCATGAATCTCACCACGATGCACATTTGCATCAGTGCAAAGCAAAGTAGAACCGGTACAGTTATTCTTTTTCTGGTTTTAGGAAATTTGGTACCTTCACAATTCGGGCAATAACTCAGTGTTACAGGAGTATGTATTTACCATCAGAGCTAATTTTATTTGCCCTCTTGCTTTATTAAAAAAATGTGAAAATAACCACTGGTTATTTGCTGATTTATGATAACCCGCACTTGAGGTAAAAAGAAATTATTTCAATTAAAAAGGCTTAAAAAACCTCACTGAATTAATTTGGGTGGGAGAGCAAGAAGAACTGGAGGTTGGTGATGAAAGGTTTCTCTTTGGTTTCTTTTTTCCTTTTTTTAGGCTTGTGAATCATGATTTCAACTTTCAAGACCTCTTTCTCTGCCTGCCTAGTTTGCAATTAAATCTTTTCCTCAGTTTTACTGTAGCCTTAATATTTATTTGAACAGTTAAGTGAAATCACTTGTATGTTCTGAGTACAACCTTCAGGTCAGCAATCTATATCTGACAAAGAATGAAGATTTTACATAGAATAGCAGTGTTACATGAAGTAAAGAAAAAATGAAAGACGTGAGCAAAACAGCCACAGAGTAAAACACTTATAATCCCTCCTTCTCTGTCAGCATCAATATTTCCAGGCAAAATGAAAGCAGAGAGGCTGTGAAACATTACCAGATGAAAGTAGTTGAGTTTTGGAGGTAGCAGGGTTATTCACAGACTAAATTTAGCCAAAGGAGGTTAACCTCCTTGAGTCAATCCATGGGCAGTACAGAGAAAATGAGAAAGAGACTCAGTAAAAAAGCTATTTTGAGCAGAAACTTCATTTTAGGCAATCCGAACAGACTTCAGGAAGAGCTTTTCTCTCTCTGCATTGACTACACTGGGAGTCTAGGGGAGACTTGCTTTTGCAAAACTCAGTTTCTACTTCTGAAAACAGCCTTGGATGCTATTTCCATTGGGGTAAAAAACTGTTTATTGTGTCAATCATCAGAGAGTCTGACCTTCATCAAGAAGTACATGAAAATGTTCAAACACGTCTGCAAAGAAAAAAAATCTTCAAATTCTAAATCTAGAATAAAGTCATGAAATAACACCTGCCTAATTGTACATGTGAGCCTGGGACAACAGTGCTTCAACAGGTGAAAAATTCCAGGCAAAAATCTTCAGGAGAGTTAGAATAATAATATAAGTGATCAATGACATTTCATTTGATTTCTTATTCCAGTTCTGATCAAAGAGCAGAGAAAGTCAGCTGATTTCACTCCATGAAGAAACAGAGGGGATCAGCTGTCCAGTCTGATGTAAACAGCATTTACTTCTGGAATTGCTAGTAGGACATTATAGGAGGGGTATTTCAGAGATTACAGTTAGAGATTTCCCCCCTCCATTTCTCCTACATTTATCCATGAGAGTTTAAAAGAAAAATAATACCTGCAGCAAACAACACTCCAGTCCTCCTTTGGTTTAAAAAAGTGCCATGTCAACTGGTAACTGGAGAGAGCATGAAAAAGCCATGGGCAGAGTGCTGCCACCATTTCAGCTGAACTAAGAAAAAACCATGTTATTCAACAAACTGCTGAACGCCCTCAGGTCCTATCAAAGTCAGATAAATCCAGAAGTGAACATTGCCCATAAGATAGAATTAGAGAAAACAAAACAAAACCAAAAGTTTATTTGTTTCCTGGTGACAGGCTTAAATATCAGTTCATATCATCCTCAAGTATTTCCCAAGAGCAATGATAGGATTATGAAGGCAGAACTTTCCTTATCACCCACCTGGGGAACCTGTTGGTATGCTGACCCCAAGAAGCATGTATCAAACCATCATTCCCTTGTTTAATATGTGAAGTATTCTCCTTAGTTTGATTAGGTTATCATCAATATAAAAAAAAAAAGCTATTTACTTAGGTTTCTTGAAATACTATTAAGGCTACACAAAGTGCAAGGTCACTTTTAAAAGCCATCAATCTTCCTTATACCCAAACCACTAGACAGGTGCATACTTTTCTCACAGACCTCCTGTTTCACTGTCAAGACTGCTGCTTTTAATCAAGTCACAGAACTACTCTCACATCAACAGGTTACAAGGTCAGAAGCAGCCTCTTAGCTTGCTGCAAAGAAGAAGGAGTAGGGATTATGAGACAGAAAAGCTCTTGTTCGCAGGTGCTTACTTATCAATATCATCATTTTTGTTTCTACTTCAGAGAAAAGCCAAGATACCAAGAAGGAACAAATGAAAGCTTTCTTGTCAAGAAGGTATTACAAAGGATTGTCTGTAGCACTTGGATAGCAAACTAAACATGGCTGTTAGTTGGGGGTTTTTTTGCTGATCACTTGCAGGTATCTTTTTAACACAGAAAGTTGCTGGACTGAACATCTTATTTCAACAATTGTTAGCCTCTGTATAAAAAGTTCCCGGCTTGAACCATATATAGATGAAATTATATCAGTAGCAAAGGGTAAAAAAAAAATTAGATGCCTTTCTGTCCTCTACCCCTTTCTCCACCGGTATAAAAGCTGCTTTCAAACTCCAGTCTCTCTCTTTAGAGATCACTAGAATATCAGCTCCTGTAACAGAACCAATAATGAATGCATGCAAAAGTGAATTAAAAAAGTGTTACTTACATATACCATATGTGTTTCTGAATATGTTCTAGCTGTAAATGAGAAGAAAACAAGCAATCAGTGCTGTAAAACAGAAAAGGTAACTCCACAAGACATCCTTATTAAAGGCTTATTCAAGTAAGTCCAACATTCCAGAGATGGATGTGTGCAAACAACAGGAACTTTATGCTGCATAAAGAGCATGCTCATCCTCACCCACCCCACTGGAAATGAGGCTATAATTCCAGACATAAGGAATCACTCAGGAACAAATCCCAGCAAAATGAGTAAGTACCAGGCTTCACAGACAAGCATTTTGGCAATTTAAGTTTTTCCCTTCCTAAGCCCTTCCCCTCTATAACCTAACCGAAGCTAACAAACTGCTCCTTTCTGTATGTGCATAATAGCTGATTCTTTACACCTAAAGTTAACTTCTAGTTTTGTTTTGGAAAAAAGAGAGAGAGAAGGAAATAGAAACAGGTTCAAACAGATAATGTGAATAAACAAAAGAAATTGCTCATGTGTGATATGACCTTCTACCAGGACCCATTCTTGATTGGCTTCACATCTAACATAAAAATCTAAAGACCTAGTAGAATAAGGTTCTATGTCAAAATAATACCATTTTTTGTTCCAGCACTTGAACACCAGACTGCAAATTTCTTTTACTTCCCTGTTTCACACATGAGCATTTTACTGTGTAATGAAGGACTGATCAAAGCTGAACAGTGGCCTTGTCCACCTATGGATGGCAGATCCCAGCAAATGTTACACAATGACCATGTTTTCCACAAGCATGGGGGAAAAGAAAGCAACACCCTTTTTCCAAGAGAAACTCTTAACAGTGCAGAGAACAAACTGTTCATATGATATACTTAGAGCAGAACCTTCCTAATCTGGTTTTTTTGAAGCATCATCACAGTAGAAAAGAATTTTTTATAGATGCCCAGGGATTATTCATTATGTGCACAATATCTCTCATATTCCTCACTACAAAGCACCTTTGTACGTGCAGAACAATATGCACACTCACTGCACACAGGCTTGCATTTGTGCAACACGCAGGTGAGAGGCAGGGGAGACCTGGAAGGAAACTCAAGTGCTAACAGCTATAAGATGAAACCATAGACCCATTAAACTGGTCAGGAAGAACGGTGACAGCTGTCCTGCTCTTATTACTTTCCACTTCAATTCCAGAACAATGAGAATCAGAGAGAAAAAGAAGAAAAAACAGAGGAACGGACAAACAAAAAAATCTCAGAGATAGAAAGTAGGCGTTTGCCACAGAGAGCAAGGAATCAGAGACCTCTGTGCTATGGAACAACAGCTCCGTGCCTGGGAGACCAGGAAGACCTGAGGTCAGCTCTATATGAGATAATTTTTTAAGTGAGACAGGGCTTTTCCTGAAAATAAAGAAACAAGGGAATGCAGCTTAGGAAAGCATGACAAGAGGCTGCAGGGATCAGTATGAGAGACAAACAACCTCCTTTAAAACCAAGACTATATCAACACTGCAATCAGAGGTACAGTTGGTACTCGCATATCTAGCTGTCTTCTAACCAGCTCAGGTGCTGGGAGCACCAATGCCCCCCAGTACGCATATCCATGGGCCCAGGCAGACTTGCACAGCTTCCAGCTGTGGCCTCAGTTCTGCCACAATAATTTCCCTTCATCACAATTTCCCTTACATTAGGTAGTCCTTTCATCCCTGCACTATTAAGAGAGAGGTGGAATATTCCTGACACACTGCCATCTCCCCTGACCAGCTTAACTCCAGATAAGATACACATTATGAGTGTTCCCCCAACAGCGTGGAGATGCAGCCCTCTTCCTCCTGGTTCTTTGCAAGCTGAGGTACAAACACAGAACATAAGAAGAACCTATTTTGTACAGTTTCCATGGGACAAGATTTTAGCATCATTACTTATCAGGTCCATAGTACTGTGAAGATCTGCTAAGGAGTGTACCATACCTCCTTTGTTCAGTAAAACTACCCTATGAGATGTGTATCTACTCGTTATTTCATATACACCACATGGAGGGTTAGAGACATTAATGGTTTCAGACAAGATGCAGATGATACAGCTAAGTGATGTCCAAGCCTCTTTCATGCTTGCTTCTCCTGCTGCATTTTCTGTCTCCGTGGGTCACATTGTTCTTTTGTGCCTCTGATATGCAGAAATGCCATGGCAAAGCAGACAACATGTTCTGAGTCAGAGAGGGGGAAGAAAGGAGGGTCACCAGTTCATGTCTTAGTCACAGAACCTCTGGGCTCCTTCAGAGAAGGTGTCAAAGAGAAATCCCTTCTGCCCATTCCTGCTGATCAACCTCCTTCAAGCTCATGAACCCATAGCATTTTTCTGAAAGAGAAGCCCCGTAGCACCTTTGATATACATTTGAAGGTGTATGAGAGCTCTCATGGTTGCTGTTTACCTACACATCTGCCATTCAATCCACATCAAAACCACTGCTGTGAAGTACGTTGGGATATCCCAGATACAAAAAGTATTCTACAAAACCAATTTCTATTCTGATTCAAACGTAATTGCATTGAAATGTTATTACAAGTGTGCTTGCTGCTGCCAACATCTTCACTGCTTTTTTAAAGGTAATTAATTAATGCTTTGTTGCTTTTCATCTGCATTAAAGTGACAAGAGGGTTATGGGAGGGCGATTGGTTTTGACAAGGAGAAGTCTGTATGCTTTTTACTATGCAATGCAGGGGAGGGAGATACACAGTGGGAGCTAATCTCACTCCTCCTGCCTTCATTTAAACACAATGTTTAAATGCATTTAAGTGACGAAGGCATTTAACAACCCTTCCCAGAGGGTTCTTCTTGCTGTTTGCACATGAGTTTGCCAAATTTAATGCCATTTCATGGAAGCTGTAAAAATGCTGCTTCCTAGTATCTCCTAGCCACTGCAGGCAATTGTCTCATGATGCCATCTCTGAAACAACAAAACATGCTCAGATCCATTGCACGAACACAGTCAGAGGAGAGACTTCTGCAAGCTAAAATGCTGTAATGGAAGGAGAGGGGGAATTACGTTATCATGGGTTTATGTAAAAATACTTCCAAAATATATTAAAATTGTATACTAAAGTAGCATCTAGGAGCCCCACTCACAGATGAGAGACCCATTGTGATACAGAATTGTACAAGCTCATCAGAAAAAGAGGTCTCCTCCCCCAAGGAGCTTATGTCTGAATTCTAAGGCAGGGAACAACAGATGGAGACAGACAGGCAGATGGAAAACAAGACAGCGCTGTCTACATCCTCAGCACTGATCTCAGCAGAGTGGTTGCCAAGCTCAGAAGTTCTGACCTACAGAAAAACTTTCTCAAAGTCTGTGGATATGGATGAGGGCTTCTGGACTTGAACTCATGTCAAATTTCAAACTTCCCTGTCCAGAAAGGGAACAGCCTCAAACCCATCTGGGCACTAAATTGACCCATATCTCAGATAAATCTTCTTCATTCAGAAGATCCTCTAGTCTGAGCTTTAAACCTGCTGTATAATGCCAAGGTAGAGGCTTTTCCTGACCAAAGGATTCAAGCTGGCAGTGCAAACAGCACTGGTAAAGCCATTATCTGTGTCAGTAGTAGCAGCCATACTGTAGCAGCCTCCATGGACTTTGACAAGGGCAAGGTATCACTGAGGTACGTGCACGGTGCATGAATAGGCCCTTGGCAGCCAAGAGCTTACAGCCTAAATACATCAACTGGACAATTACCTCCATTCTACAGGTAGTAAAGTGAGATAATTTAGATGATGTGACAGGCACCTTACTGTAAGATCTTCTAGAAAAATGCAGAAGGAATCAGGTGAGTTTTCCCTTGTTCATTTTTTTAATATTCTTTAGATGCTGTGGTCCATCATTAGCATACATTAGACCCAAGAAAAAAACAGAATCAGAGAGCAGAGAGGAGATTCTAAAAATGCGTGTAATTTAAGTTAGATAATATTCAGGGACAGGTATTTCAGACTACGTGGACACCCAACATGGAAGACAATTCATTCTACTCTGGAATAAAAGGTCAACACTGGAACAATAACAGCTTTATCAGAATAGCTTATTCTGCAATACCTGCTCTAACCCACCTTGTTCTACAGACAAAGTTTCGATAATGTTCATCCATCTTTAAACGGAAAGTGGACCAAAAGCTCCTTACTTTCCCCCCTTTGCCTTTGTGCTTCTGTAGAAGAAAGTATTGGCTGTGAATGTAAATGGATTTCACTACAGGAGCTGTAATTCTCCACTGTAGAGATGCTGAATCATTTGAAACCTCCAAGGAAAAAATCATTCACTTTCTGAAGAGCACATAACTGAAAGAAACCTCATCCTGCAGTACTGCAAGCACCGAGAGCACTCATTGTCTTCCATAAACCTTCTCAAACTCAAAACTAGTTCACTTTTCCTTCCCAACACTAATCCTACTAGAAAGCTGGCCCAGAACCCCACTAATATGGCTAAAGTGCTTCTGCTAATCTCTAGCCTACTTTCATGTAAGGCCTTTTGACATATATTTGTTTTTGTGCCAGTACCTTCCTTTAGTTTAAATAATCCTTCCCTCCCTAGTAACTACCTCTCATGAATATGCAGATGACCAGTACAACCTTTCTTAGACATCATCTGTGTAGACTAAGTGGAGCTCTTTTAGGCTGTGCTATTCAGACAGGTTCTCTCAAATGCTGACCACCTCAGTACTCATTCTTTGTTTGATTTCATCTTTCATGAATATGGGTGGTCAGCAATATCATGACCAGCAGCTAAGATCCACTGTTGCAGTGTAGTGAAAGAAAAACATTGATTCTTTTATTTTAAAGCATGTTTAGTAAAGCAGGTCCAGTAAAGGAGAGTGGTCAAGGATGTCCCACTAACCATACTTGAGGCTACGTAATATACGGTGAGCGTGAACACTATTCCACTAAGATATAATAAAGTCTTCTTTCCATAAATGAATCGTATACAAAGAAAGGTAATGCCTATTTCTTAAGGCAGGAAAGGGCCAGCAACAATAATTCTGAGTACCCTCCTCTCCATTAATCCTCTCAAGCTCTAACAAACACTGAAGCCGAATGATGACAGTTAAATGTGAATGCTAGTTCTGTTTTTGTTGATCATTTTAACAGATGGACTGGGGAAGGTGTGGGTGTGCTGTGAAATGGCAATTACTGCAGGGAGGGAAATGCAGTTGGATGAAAAGGAAAAGAGAAACAAATCAAAAAAAGGAACAAAGCAGAGAGGGAAAGGAAAAAATGAAAGAAAAATTTCTAGTGACCTTACATTTCACTACATTTTTCTGTTAAATTCACCAGTGAGATATTGAGCAAATGATCAGTAATGGTAAAAGCTACATCTGTACTTATTGTACCCAAGCCACAATTTTGCTCAGATCTTTGTATAAATATCAAATTGATTCAAGTGAGATATTTTCTAGGAATAGAGCCTTCCAAATAAACCCATATTTATACCCTTTTTCACAGGACACAGCTAAAATAGAATTCAGATCTCTCCTCAAAATGAACTATATATTCCTAGCTCCTGTGCAGTAAACAAAGAGCTCCCTTCCGCCTGGCAATCTAAGCAACCAGCACGCTAACAGCATGAAGTGTGACAGCAGCAGGGACAGCAAACCGAGAGACCCTAAAATAATGAAAATAACATTGCAGCTAATAATAAAGAGCTATCCTTTTTTCCTCCCGGCTCTCAGCTCTCGAATATGTTTTACTTCAAATTCTTATTCACAATTCACTGGCTAGTGCTTGTCAATAACTATCTGATCTGGGGTTTTTTCCTCCCTAAGGAAATATGAGCTTAATTTTGATCAAGAAAAGGAGGCGGGGCTGTCACTCTGGGACCTTGATTTACCTTAACTGTTTTCTCTTTTATGCGTGTACATTCTCTGCTGTATTGCACAATTCAAAATGTTTAGGAACTATGCTCTATGGAAAAACTCATTCAGGACAATTTGAAGAAGATCTGATGATCTGCTCCCTGGCATACTCAAAAATCGGCACTAAGATCTCTGACAGAAAAAAAGAAAACACAACAGGAAAACTGTTATGTTTACCTTATTGAAAGGAAACTAAGCTAGAGAGGGACATGGTGACTTTCTTGATCATGAAGAACAGCTGTCTCATGTCTCAAGGTATAGCCCTAACCTCTGCAGTGTTCTTTCCACGAAAATACTTGGAAAAATAGTTTTTCTTTCTTCAAAAATCTGTTCAAAAAAGGCCTTTTAAAGTGCCTAATATTTTGATGGGTTTTTCTTCCAACCACTGCTACTTATGTACTGCAAACATGATGGCTACTGGGTTTGCAAAAGTACGGATACTAGTAATAATAGCATGAAGAACTTTTCACCTGCATCACCAAATAGAGCATGACCTGGTTTTGTAATGAATGAAAGAAAAACCCAGCTCCAGCTGTCAGGTAATACTGTAAAGAGAGTTGTGAAGGGAGTTTCAGTTCACTTCTTAGCAGACAGGTGTCTGCATCCTGAAAGCACCATCACAGCTGGCACAGACTGATGCTGCTGTTAGCAATCTCAGCAGAGAGGCCAAGCAGTGATCTGAGAGTTTATTTATAAATATTTTAGCAGACTGAAGAACCAGGAGGAGTTTTAAATTTACATTTCTTTATACATACTCCCACTCAGAATCTGTGAGCTTAGTAAATCTGTATAAAATCATCACCACAGCCTGACAATAGGATTTACAAGGGCAATGTACCCATAAAGGCAGACGCCTCCACTGACAAGCAGGCAATCTTGCTTTCCAAAATGATTTTAATTGCTAATTTTTTTTAATTCCCCAAAACATTAACACATTGTTAATGAAGGATACAATCACTACACAGTGCTCACCCTTGCAGGGCCTCTGTTGTAGTGATGGGATGTATCCTAGATGCAAAGACTCAGTGCTGAATGCCAGGAGCTCAACACTGTGGGCCTAATCATGCTCAGGACCCCAGGGCACAAGATGAAAGAGCAGACTGCAAGACACTTGCTCTGAAGGCTGCTAGAGGATAATGCAGAGCAAATGCAGGATAGAATACAATGCAGGTTGCGTGGCATGAAGTGAGAGGCTATCACTTTTGTGAGAAATGTAAGAAAAGCATACTCTGTTTAATAGCAAAGCTTCAAATAACAGTTTTGACCTTCAAACAGTTATATCACGTCCCCGACAAACTGCTGTACCAGCCAGAAGAGTCAGACAACTGAGGTGGACTCCAAAACGTGCTAATGGGTCAGTAGCACTGTGATGACATTACATGGGATTTCTTCTAAATGACCACTGTTACATATGACGGAGAATTATGAGGCTAGAGAAGAGACACAAAGGTAATCCGCCCTCATGATTCAAAAGAGAAGGTAATTAACTTCTTCCCAAAGACTCCACCAACTCCACTCATTCTTTACCCAGGAGGAAACACACAGGAGCAGCAGTAAATCAACTTTACCTTAGTTATTCAACTGCAACTGCAACAACATGACAAATGAAGCCTTGCTCACATGACTTGCAGCAAATGCCTTCTTACCGTGAGACGTTTCGAGGCGTCCACTTCAATCATCCCCCGCAAAAGGTTCTGACAGTCCGGGGGGATAAAATGTGGCATGTGGAACACTCCACGTTTCACCTTCTCCAACAGTTGCCGCAAGTTGTCGTCATCAAAAGGCAGAGCACCCTGCAGGAATGTGACAGAGTGGTGGATGGGAGAGAAGAACAAAAGTGAATTAGAGAGGGCAAAAGGAGAAAAGCCAGGATAAACACGGTGAGAGAATGGAAAAGAGGAAGTCAGCTCACAAGGAATTATTATAATAACTGAAAAACCCTTTTATCCATTGAAAATGAATAATTTCTTAGTACTGCTGTATTTTCTCCAACATAGGAAACAAAACTGAGGACATAGGTTTTTTTATTAGACCTTTAATTAGAAAATGACTACCAGTATAAAACATAATACAAAATATGAAATTGCCTTTCCAGGCAAATTCACCAAAGATGCATGGATTCACTTAAATTCAGCTCAAGCTTTTGATCTGCTGGTATTCCTCCTGGGCATACTTTCACAGCAGCAATGTTTATCGTCTCCTTATTTTTAATCTTCCTGAGACACATTTATTGCAGACATTGAAAAGAAGGTGAACAGAATTTGAGAGGCTTTCAGTAAAGAACATCCTCTTTCTGATGTAGCAGTGAAATGACACAGCTGAAAGAAACCCTAACCAACATTAGCCTTTGGAAGCAGCAGACATTCTACCTGTTTAATATACTCCATCCAGTTCCCATGCTGTGGTCAGGTCATCAGTTCCTATTGCTTCCCTACTGTAGCTCACTTACATGAATGGCTTGAGGTTTTTTTAGCTGAAATTACATTTTGAATAGATCATCAGCTTGCCACAAAAAGCAGCAAAAGACCTATCCTTGCTGCAAGGACAAAAAGGAAAAAAAAGAAGTTGAAATCTTTAGGATAACTCCACCAACTGAAGCTGATACTCTTTTATAGCAAGTCTGCACCTTTCTAGATATTCTCACTTCCTTCTTTCACTGCCTAATTCTAGGTGCTGAGCTTCCTTGATTTCCAGGATGGTTTGTGGGAAGCTGCAAGCTGTCAACTGCTGTGATAATGAAGCTTTAAGTTGTCAATTCTGGCACTGCTCTTACTACAGCGAGTAGTGCATCTGTATAAGCAATCCTGTGTCTATGGTTTACGGAGACCAACAGCTCCATTTACAGAAGCCTCAGAAAGCCCACCTGATGGCAACCACTACTGGGCACTATTTACTGTTGTTTGTTCATTCAAGTGGCCTTGAAGAGAGAGAGCCTCCCTGCCTTCTGTAACCAATCCCCTGAGTTACCTACTCTTTTCCTAACCATTCCAGACTTAAAGGAAAATCAATTCTGATAGTTCAGTACTTTGGCTAATGCAATTTAAGCGACGATGAAGTCAGCAAGGCTGCTTTGTGGCATTTCCTGAAGGTAACAACTACAGCTCTTTTATTACTACCACCTGCTATTATAGCTTGAGACTTTTTGTAGGGTTTGTCCTGACATAATTAACTGGAGAGCTCTGCACTCTCCGTCAATAATAGACTTATTTCAATCGTTTTTCAGGCTCATGTATATATGTAGGAACAGTTGAACATGCAGCAACAGAGAGATACCAAATCTTGAGAGAGAATCCCCCTGAAATGAAAAGCCCGCTCCTACAAATCCTAACCATCTTGACACATTCTCTCTTCTATTTTTACAAATTCAAGAAGTTATATTAAGAGCTCATTATACAGTTCTATTTTATCAGCCATGAAAATAGCTGCTCAGGAGCAATAGATGACCAGGTGCTATCTAGTGAGATAGTTGAAATTCTTCCCTGGCAACATCAAGATAAAAAATCTAAAACTTCAAAAATGTCAGTGAATTGTAATGACTAAAAAGAAAAAAAGAGTAAGATCAGTTAAGGTGAATTAGAGCATCATACTGAGATTACTTCAAGGTTATTTTGATTTGGGCCATTAATAAAATTATCATCACATTTTTTGAAAAAAAAAAATCCTTTAAAATTTTCAAGTATTTTAAACAAAAATAATGTGCAGAATCTAATTCTGACTGTACATTGTACAAGTGCTTTTGTCAAAATAAAACATTTGAGTGAAGTAATTAGGTTTACTAATAAATGTATGAGGACATCAAAATTTGACTTCAGGCCTGTTATTTTTATAACTGTAGATGATCATCTGAACTATTACAGCTAAAAAAAACTTAACATGCACATAAAATCTATTCTCATATACAGTATTCAATCTGTACATGGTATACGCTTATATAAACATAAACTATATTTTCCTACATTATACTATAGAAATTGCTAACAAATGCCAAGCCTATCTGCCTCCAGCTGGACATCCCATTGTTGTATGTTTAGGAGTATTACATTACCACTGCAAATCAGAATAAATTCCACAGAGGATTGAAACTTTGATCGACAGAAGGATAAGTTACAAGATACCACATTTTGAATACTAAAGAAAGTATTACTGAGCCAGATGGAAACTAATTTAAACTTTGTACTACTGGCTCACTTTTATATTCCCAAGTGTACCAAATTAAAATGTAGCTTGATACTTGCACAAAACAAAATTGTTGCACTCAAATCTTCTCTTGATAAAACACTGCAGTTAATGTATGCATATACCTACTGAAACACATACGTACATACAGCAGACAAAACAGAACACTTCCCAAACCCAGCCATATTTTGATCTTGTGAAGGACAACTTATTGGACGCTCTCTGTATTCTGGAGTGGCAACCCTGCACATCCTTTGCCATCAAAAAACGTGCTGCAGTATCACAACACAGCAAAGAGCATTTATGGAGACAAGTTTTTGACACTTGTCTATGCTTTCCTGTGCAGGGCAGCAGCATTTCAAAGCAGCAGTGAAATATTCCTCATGCTTTTCCTTTGGGACTGATGTAGAAATAAGAGGAAAGGATGCAACTGAGAGATACAAAACCAGGGGAACTAAAAAAAACCCATCTGTACATGATCTCAATAGAATCGCCATTAAATACAGCAGCATTTTCAGATTTTTCTTTTCTTTTTAAAGGATAGCGCAAGGAAGATGACTCACCACGAGCAACGCAAATAAAATGACTCCGCAGCTCCAGACGTCTGCTTTCCTTCCATCATATTTTTCACCCTGCACAGCAATGACACAGACGTTCAAAAGACTGCTCACTAGCAAATGAATTAATTATCCTTGAAGAACAAGAGAGGGGAGAATGGGAAACCCCACATTTTAATTCAGCCACCTGCTTCCCAAGGTGGCCTTCCCAACTCGGAGGCCATGACACAGCCCATTAATAGAATTTTTATGAACATCAGTTTACAGTCTTATCTGGGATCTGTGAGAATAGGCTCAGAAGTGGGGAGCAGGGCAGGAACGGTCGACAGCTCACAAATGATTAGATCTGGCACTTAAACCGTGTCAGAGGTGTATTAAGGACATCAAGAAGGTGTTTTTCTCTTCCCTGGTTCTTCAGGGAGCTTGTCACCAGTCATGTTACTTGCGAACTCATAGTATTGTCTGGACAGTTGCTTCTGTATGCTTCCTGCTTGGCTTTACATTAAAGATATGCTATAAAAGAGGGCAATCTTGGCCACTGAAATCTTGGATACTTATTTTCAGAGGACAAAGGGAGAGTAGAGGGAAAGGATAGTTCATATCATTTAATGGAAACCAACATCACTGACAGGCAACCCCGGCTCTTCTACTGAAATGACAGCTACAGCAGAGACAGGAAAGCGTAGGGGACTGCATCCCCTGGGTGGAAAGATCAAGTTAAACGAGGCTACTGTATTTCTGTCGGATCACATGGCACGAAGGGTACTGTGAGAATAACACACGATCATTTCCCTCATACTGTCTATGTAGCTTGATTCAGGGCTGAGCCAAACAAACAAAACCGTAGTTACGTTCCTTGTGTCCTTTCCAATGCTGTCTGCCTTGGCCAGATTTCCTGTAGAGAGGGTCTGTCTGTGTACTTGCAATGAGTGACACTTTAAAAAATATATTTATACACACTAATGTCAACCAACTTACCCGGATGACTTCAGGGCAAGCATAATGTGGTGATCTGAAACATAAAATACAGTCAAATGAGCATGTAACAGCCTTGTATATATGGATTACATGCATTTCCATTTTGTTTAGCAGAATCATGATTGGCTCGCTTATTCAGAATGCAAGTGTGCAAAACCAGCACTTTTTGCCTTACCTCAATGACAACATATTTCTAAGAAACTCAGAAAATGGTCAAGAAGCAACATAATTCAAAGTTCTATGGCCCTACTAAGAATTTCTTAAAAGCAAGGAAGGAAGAGAAGACCAGGCATATTCTGTGATTATATAGAATTCCAGCCCTCTAATCCCACCCTTTAACTAGGCCTTGTATCTAATTAGAATAGCCTTTTATAAGAAAAGAGACAGAACAATATTTTCAGACCAAACACATGCATCCCTAAACCATGTCTTGCATCTTTTCTGCTACGATTGCTCTCAATTATTCTAGTGGTCATAAAAGCCACCAGTACATGATTCAACATGCAATTTTTTTTTTCTTTCAAATAGTAGAAGGGATGGACAGTAGTACACTACCTAGTGAATTAATATATTCTTTTTGCATCCTTCTACCCATATATCTCTGGGTGAGAATAGTTAATTACTTCAACTTGCCAGGTAATCATTTTAATTCCTAAAGATTATAGCCACAGCTATTTATTTTATAGCCTTCATTAAAGTAACTTGACAAGTAAAAGGGATGCAAACTGTCTGAGACCTGTGGGCAAATCATGCTATTGTTTATACTGACACCTCCCAGCAGTCCCTAAGCCTGTCTTCATTTGTGCATTTGTTTCTTGTGACAAATGCAATCATGGCTGGGCAATACCTGTCTCACAAAGTAATGAGCAAAACAGAGGCACAATGAGGTTAGCTTTGTGCTAGGATGCTACATTAATGCCCAGTGAGACAGCCCATTAATTGAATTTCCATACACACTACACTTATCTTATGGCAAAATATCATCCTGTGGGCATGGAACGCCCTGATGTGGTATCACAGCTTTTGGCAGATGATGATAATAACGTCAGGGTACACTTGGGACTGCAGCTACCTTGACAGCAAAACTTAAGCAAGGAGAGAGAAATGCAGCTGATCCCTCACAAATTTCAGGAAAGATGGAATTCAGAAGTTTAGTACAAGATTTAATACTCCCCCACCCCCCATTTAAGAGGTTATCACAGGTATTCTAACCAGGTCTATCCGCTCAGTAGTGATCCCAAGTGTCTTAATTTAGACTGGATTTTAAAAACCTCAATTCAAGAGTGAAAACAGATCATGAAAACCAGAACCTTCCCTCAGAGAGCTGGCCATAGTTGGGCCTTAGGATAGCAAAAAGAATGGACTTGTGCCTAGTGGGTGGACAGACTATCTGGCTCTCTTGGCAGCTCTGTCACTGGCAGCCATATAGACATGGACAAGGTTACTGGACATGGACAAGGTTACTTAACGTTTTTAAAAGCTGCAGCTGGCCCCAGTTTGAAAAAGGTGACCAGAACCTCACCATGAGTGTATTCTTCTGACTAAAAGAAGAGCAATGCCAGCACAACTTCTATACCTCACAGAAGTTTGTATGACTGAATTTTGACTGATGCTGGGATTTGTACAAGGCTTTAACCTTTTAGGGAAAAAGCTTCTATAGGAACAAAGAGCAGGATGGCAACATAATGAAATAAAGCTAAAGCAGTAGTGTTAATAAAATTGTTGCTTCTTGACTAAGTGGGGGCTCATTTGGGGGACTTACTTACAGCATAGTGCTGGCCACTGCTGGAGAGAAAGTGAGGCCACAGTGAGACACCGAATTACTTAATGTTATGTATGTGTTCCCAAGCCTCCAAATTATATTGTTCCCTGCGAATTTGCTTCTTTATAGCAATCCAGCAGCTACTCTACACCTGTTCTTTTCAATACCCCAAAGCCTTAACCACTAAAGAGTCATATCACTGGACTAATGCATGAGTTTACAAGCTTTTAGAAGACAAGTGAAATTATTCTTGTGAGAATGCTTAACTAGTGGTAGTGTCTTTTTTTCTTATCATAAAAATGGTGTATAGTGTACAGGTCATCCTTAAGGCACACACAAATCAGAATTAAGGACCAGGACCAGAACTAGGACTGCAACCCAGGACTGGACAAGCACAGCCAACTGTCACCAGTGCTAGACTGCTTAGACAGAACAGTGGAAGAGGGAACTATGGAGCTGTAGGGAAGGTAGTACTGCAACTATAATTTGGAAAAAACATCATGGACATTCACTCTGTTTAGTCACCTCAGAATAGAAAGACCAGTTCTAACATGTTCTATATAAATGAGTCAAACTAGGTTTATTGGAAAATGTATCAGGGCGGGGGGTAACAAAGGAGTGAAGACACAATCTAGATAACTGTTGAGCTCCTGTCACTTAGCGTGTCTGAGTTTCTCAGTCTTGCATGCATTTTAGCTTCTGTCAGGTACGATGCTACCATTGCCTTTCCTACAGAAGGTGAGTCACGAAGACAGACAGTACATTAAATGGCTACTGCAGGTGGTGTCTGTGGCTAAGCTAGAAACTTAAGCCAGACCTCCCAAATCCTGCATGGTATCCTGTACCGTTCAGCATCATCCTTCAGCACAATACTTTTTGGGTGGCCATGCCATCTGGGGTGCACTGGAAGAGTCAGTGTCTCCATTTGCAGAGTGCTTCTGAGTTCTTATTTGAACATGATGACTCCAACAAAGATTTCAGAACTCTCAATTGTGGATGCTGAGCAATGCAACCACCTCGATAGCTTCCTGTGCTAACATCCTTGAAAAGAAGAATGTTAAGTGTTGTGAAGAACCCAAGACAGGTATATACCTATTTATGTGTCCCACTAGCAAATGCACTTAAAGCATTTACCCTCCTGAGGTCAGCCGCAGTGCAGTGGAATCTGCTAGGTGTCTTACAAGGCACCACTGAAATTCTGCTAAAATCTAGGAGAGTGGGGGGAGAAAATGATATAATAAGTCCTTTGAACAAGTTGGATTGATTTGATCATTCAACAGATGCACTGCAACTGCCCAGAGAGCACAGGTTCCTGGCATAGCCATTCTGAATTCTTGCCAGCACACACTAGCTAGATATCTGCAGCATTATCTTGGCTAACAGCTCTAAAAGGGATCCTCCGGCCAGCCAGAACCCATAGAAAACTCATTTCCATGCTGCCAATCACAGAGCAACTTCAGCTGCTTTAAAGAGAAAACTCAAATTTAATCAAAAATCTATTTATCTTTCTACAGAGTCATGAATATTTCTTTGGCTCTTATCACTAATTATTCAATATACGTGTGTCAAGAGCAACATTGCCTGCCTCTTCCCCTAGGCCATGTCCTCATCATTCAGCTACATCTCTGTGCAGCAAAAGCCACAATCTGCCCTTGATAACAAATAAGTATATCGCTCATCAAGATCAAGAAGCAGTTGCTGCCTCTGGGTACTGCTGCAAAAAAAGCACCGATGTTGGCAGTGTTTATTTCAAGGCTAGTTTGTCTGGGGCAGGAAGGGCTCTCTGAATGGTCATTCACAGCTATGACTCTAGGACACAGTAATCTTATAGATCTTGGGGGACCTTAGCAAAGCATTTACATGGGATTTCAACCGGAGGAGATAAGCCAGAGTGCAATGGTGACATCCAGGACAGTCCTGGACAGTTAAGTCAGGCATTCAGAAAGAAATGTATATATCCTTGATGTATCTATCCTGAACTTCATCTGAGAAACTAGAAAAGTAGTTCTTGACCTGGGCACATCAAGATACAGCACAGCTACAGTAGATCTGAGACAACCAGGGCAACATCATCAGTGCAGATGCGATGTGCCTGTGACCTACAGGTCTCATTATGTAGGTAAGAGACCTGCACTGTGCACACACAAATTGACTGCCCATGTATGGTTTATCTGGGAATATACAGTAACTGCTTTTCCAGAGAAGCTGTTGGTTGATCCAAGAAGCACAGGGAAAGCTGTGTAATCCTACTCCACAGTGTGACAAATCCTGTGTTACACTACCTGATGAGTTCCCAGGTCCCATCAAACACGCTTGTCCATGCCTGGGTCCTTTGGTCCCATGCCTTAAGATGGTACTATTTGGGGAAGAAGAAAAGCTTCGAGTGCCATTCCTTAGGCCTCACAGCTGGAGGCAGAGTTTCTGCAGAGAGGGAGGAACAAGAAGCCTCCTTCCCTCTGTTTTTCTTATGCATGAAGTTACCTTGATACAGAAGGTTGTACAGGTGCATGGAAGTCCTCCCACGTCTAGCTGTCTTTGCTGTTGCTCGGATGCTAGAGTCCCTTCTCCCCCACCCCGTTAATCACAGTCTCCAAGCTGGCTTTCAGAGACAGAAGCTACCCACTAGCACAACGGCTGCCTTGTGCTTTCCCCCCATGCTGGGTAGCAAAGGGCTGAGATGAAGGGGAAAGCCAGAGGAGTAGCAAAATAGATAAAGGGAATTCTTCAGGAGAAGAACATACATTAGAGCATTCTGAGTGGAGAAAGCGACAGCCACAGATCACACAGAAAAATAAGACAGGGAGAGACTGAAGAAATGGTTCCAGTAGCAGTGGGTAGTTAAGGTTGCAGTGAAGGCAGTAGCTGTAGGTAAGGCTGTAATTAAGGCTGTAGCTGTAGTTAAGGCTGAATGCTATTTTGCCATTAAAGCTTCAACTCAGTCCTTTAGCTTTATATGAGAAAACTCAGCATCTAGCACTCAGCCATCTTACAGCTGTTTACTCCTTGAGCACAATTACATTTCTGGGGAATCTGTAAATCAGTTCATTAATATATCAGTTCAAATTATTAAGACTTGGAACCTTTAAGAGATCCTAATTTAAAAAATGAAACAGACCCCTGTATTAAGAGGGCATAAAGGTTGCAAAGTTAAGCTTTCAAAAGTTAAGAATTGCTAAAATAAAGCTTGAAGAGGTTATACTGTACTCTGCAGGTAAGTCGGGGTGGGGTGGTGGATCTGTTGCTGTCCCCAATGCCTCTGTCTTACTTGTGGC